TCCGGCTGGATTCTGCCCCCGGGTGTTGTTTCTGGGGTTGTTTTTCCCTTCTTTCGGTCTGGTGACGTCACTCTGTCCCCTGGGGTCCCGTTAACGGGGAGTCCAAACGCGCGTTCCGTGGCTCGGTCCGCAGAGGTTTGCGCGTTAATGGACGCCACGTGCGGCTCCTGAGCCTCAGGTTTTCAGTTCAGGACCAAACTGAACTGATCTCTACCCGGACAGGTCTAGAAACCCACGTAAAGCCCTTCTAACCAACACATTTCCACTCAGTCTGGTCCGTTTCCGCCCAAATAAAGTGAAGAAATGTCCACAAATGTGGCTTTTTTCTTTATTCAGAGGGCAAAATTTGATAATCACAATAACTCTTCACATTTAACCTGATTCCTGCTGAGATTTAACCCTATGTGTGGTATTATTTCCTCTTCATGTCATGTTATCTGGGATTAGGACCTAATAGGACCTAGAACCTTCCCCATATGAAGACGTCCGGTATTTAAAACGGGCATTTATGTGTCCAAAGGTTCTCTTTGCGGTTAATTGCAGCATATTAATGACGCGAATGTTTGCTGAAACCGTTTTGTTTTAGGTTTTAGTGTGTGATAGTGTCACTGTGGGGTCAAAGGTCAAAGTGGAGCCGAACAGTCAAAGGAGCTTAAAGAGTTTAGAATTAGTCTGTTTTCACTCAGTCATATTGTGAAATTAGCAGAAAATTAGTGGATTTTATAGTAATAATAATGATTATAATTGATTTAATTTGAAAGCGCCTTTCTCGGCACTCAAGGACACACAGATGCATAAAAAAGCATTCAAATAAAACAATAAAAATCAATAAAAATCAATAAACTCAGGCAGAAAAGGCGTCACAAGTGTGTTCTGAGTTGTGATTTGAAATGGAGGGGTGAGTCGATGTTTCTGAGTTGGGATGGTGATACTGAGAGGGGGGGGGGGCAAAAAGGTGGATGGGGGAGGAGGATCTATGGGGGGGGGGGGACATGGATAAGGGCAGACAGGTATGGACAGACTTTAATTTTAGTAGGAGAGTTTTTAATGGAGCCAGTTCTGTTAAATGCACTTTATTTTTACTCTGTGGCCCAGATGTGTTTGGGAAAAGTCCCGGGATGGTACACTGATGACTTCTGGTTGTTGATCATCTGCCTGATTTCTATTTTCTGAGCTTTGGTCCACCTGAGAGGCTTGTTTATAACACTATTACTGCCTTTAGACTTAGCTTTATTCATCCTCTGGAATCGCTCTCTCAGGAAATTGTGATTTTTCCCTGTAATGGAATCCTGAGCCGCCCCAAATCAGC